TTGTTATCTCAAATCGACTCTTGATTAGGTTGTTTATGGCTTAGTGGTATCTCTGGCTCAATCGCTTACAACTGGTCAAAACCTGGCATGAAAACCAGTGTCAGAATCATCCACGCTAGGTAAATGTTCTAATCGTAATGTTTGGGTTTAGTTTTTGTTTGATGGTAGAAGATATTAATGGCTAAAGTTATTTCTATTGAAGATTCTGATTCTTAACTCTGCTTAATGGTCAAGAAACCTGCATCAAAATTGTTTTGTTATGTATTCTCATAAATTTTGGATGTCATATAGAAACATTTTACATGAGCTTCAATCATGGTTACTCTATATCTCTGTTTATGGACCTGATATTCTTCAGTTGAGTTAAAACGAGATTGTTCGCGTTGTTTCTTCGTTTACTCGCCCTGTTAAATGTAGAATGCACATTTTAGAAGAATATATTTCTCTCAATCTTTACTATTAAGCTGCTCTGTTTCCCATCAGTTCTGTATTGCTAGACAAATCATTTGTTTGCAAACATCTAAATGTCTCCAATATGGATGATCATATACACACTTGCTCATATGCGTGTTTTGTGCTTAAAACACTAGAGTTTCTTAATTCTTCTTGGATTTCTTTTTGATGGTGATGATCTTCAATTCATCTTCCGCCTATAGACCTCTCACACATTTCTGGATTGGATTATATATTTCCTCAGGTTGCATGCTCAGGCGCTGACATTGGCCGCTCTGGCTGGAGCAGCTGCAGTGGAGTACTATGATCACAAAACTGGAACCACTGATCGCTACCCGAAATTTCTGAAGCCTGATAACTTATCTCAAAATAAGGACTAAGATTGGATCATGGCTTGATGCCTATTCAGTTACTGTAGGCATATTATAGCTAGTGAGAATTTCATGTTTTTTTAATGGTTTTGTTGATACTTTGAAATGGATCATTCTGGGGTTATAATCCCTACGCCGTGCAGATTGCCTGCAAAATACGGGATGCCAAAATGTAAGGCATACGTACATATATATTAAATTAATAATTTCTCACTTATAAGTTGGCTTATTTTATGAAATTGGTCATCCTGCTTTTTGTACCTTAAATCCTGATTATATGACTATTATCCCAAATTCAGAGTATTCATGAGAATTTTTACCTTCTATTATCGATGAATTTACAAATGTCTTTACAGTTTTCTGTTTGTGAAAAATGTTTCACGATTGATTATGTTAAATATAATACATTCATCCAGTTTTTTTTTTTGTTRAACTACACAATTGATACATTCGACAATTGTACACGTATCATGTATCAAATCCTGAACTTGGCCTCAGAGCGTCCGGCCCATGTGTAATTTTAGCACAAAACAAATTTTGCCGTTTAAATTTTATAAAACCAGCACGTTATTTGGTATCAGAAGTTTCAGACGGCAAGATGGGAGTGAGCGATTGAGATGTGCTAATAATCCCCACCCAAACGAATACGACGCGAAGCAGATTATAAAACAAGAAGTGGGCAGTCTGAAGAGAGCACTTAACCTGGACGGGGTCAACTCTTGATCAAAAAGACTAGGCTAGTAACTTTCTTTGCACACATCGGAAGGGTGCTATGCTTAAGGTATTTCCAAGTGGAAGAGTCTATGTCATTATTTGTGGTAGAGGGGGTTTGCATTCGCGCAGCCCCTACCATCTCTATCGGTCTCAATTTTTATTTAATTATATCAGTGAACAATATCGTATTTGACATATCTATTATGGTTTTTTTTTGGGGTGAATTAGTGTAAACTACTCTTTAAAAAACAATTTGAAAGTCCTAGACCAAAACAAAATTAATTAAGTAGCACAACTGAGAGAAATGTTTTTTTTTCCCGAATTGCCTTTATGACTCACTCAGTGTTTTCGTACTGAAAAACAACATGTCATGTCATGTCATAAAAAATACATGATTAAACAGTTTTTTATTTCATCAAAATTTCCCCATTAGATATTTAGTTGATCTAAAGTTTAATTTAAATTGAAATGTTCTTCT